AACTAACGCTCATGACTTCTGGTTTTTGCGAGATTTGCCAATAAACTTTGAGTGGTTTATAAGTTTGAAAGTAGCAAAAAAACCGATAGAGCCTTATCAAAATTTGCCCATGTAATGGATTAGCAAGACTTTTTTAGCTTTTCATTATTGTGATCAGACATACATAATCAGGCTCATGGTACTTCTTGATTCATTCACACATAGAGAAAAACTTGATTTATTCTCAACGGTGAAATCATCTGATTACAGCTTACCTCAGCCACACTCTTTTCTTGTTGAGTAGCCATAAAGCCAATGAATGAGAAGATGACGAAGCCGGCAAAGACACTTGTGCCGCTGTTCACAAAGCACACCGTTAGTGCTTGCCTGAAAGTAAAATATTCATTCCTAAAATGTGGTCGAGTTGCTTACTTATAGACATTATTATGATAAGTGTTGTAGCTGCCCAGGGCTACCAAAGCACCCAGACCGAGACCATAGGAGAAGAAGACTTGAGTGACGGCATCTACCCATACCTAAATTGAATTTTGGTTCAAATCGCTCTGCAGTTACATGTGGAAAACACACCTTCGATTCCAACAATTTCGAGAAATCAGGTTTCAAGTAAAATTCTAAGCCAAGTGACGCTCCCGGTAGTGTGAGACCTCGGACAAGTAAGAAGAACAGCATGATGTATGGGAATGAAGCTGTCAAATAAACAACCTGAAAAACTACCAAGTAGTTCGTTACTTTTGAAGTACCTCTAAAAAGTGGCACACGAAGTTGTGTAAAGCAATTCATAATGATTTGAATGAGCATTGTCCCAGCTGTCTAATATGATCATAAAACTTTTAATTGGTACCTCCTTTCTGAACGTCTTTTCAGCATCGTCCGCTTTCTTTCAATAATAAACATTATGAAAAATGAATTTCAAGTAATTTGAAAACTTACAGAAAAGATATGCAATCACGCAAAAAGTGAAGGGACCACAAAAAAACATTTGGAACAAAGATTATCTAACTCAGTTTGGTTGTTATGCATCGCATTTTCCGATGGATCACTTACTTTTCCAGTCCATTTCACTCCTTTAAAGATGCAGAGATAGCAAATAACCCATGCAATGAAGAGATACAATGCGAGATCATAGCGCAACCCTCCTGGATGCTCGATACCATCTGAGATTCCTAGCACTTTATAGCTGGAAGAAAGCAATTTCCCTTTTTCAAACCGATGGTCAAAGCCTTGGCTCACTTCCAAAATTCTTTTACTGGTGATTGAACACTGAGATCAGCAGCTGTGCATACTGTAAAATTTGCTTTTGGGCCAACAAAAAATTGTTTTCTGTATTCCATAAGATGGTCGGCCGTCAACACCTGAAAATGATATAGCATGAATAGTAGAAAAAATAAAATGAATAAAAGTATTTGCAGAGTCAAGGTCTGCTTACTTTAACATTGAAAAAATCTGCAATTGTGCGATTGCTATCACATGGTAGTTTTTCATATTCTGAGCGACACCTTGGCGTATTCCACCTAAAAGATGAAGTTTTCTGAGTATTTTTTGAAAGTTGCTTCTTCTGTTTAGCAGCGTTTGTTGCTCTTAACGAACAAAACTCTGAAAAGAAGCTTCAAGGCAATGCTCACAAAAAGCGTAAATCACATAAACAGTATACTTCAATCCTGATGTTTATTCTTTTCTCGGTCAATCGGAAAATCCCGAAAAAATTTTTGAGGAAGTTTTCGCTCACATCTCGAGTCTTATGTTCTAGTTGCAAATAGCCATTTGCTCCCTACCAAGCTATGCAAATTCCAAAATTCTCCCAGTTTCGTCGTACTATTAGAAAAAATATTTTCGTAAGGCAGTAGAGCCTTTAAGTGTTGGTACACGGGAAAGAATTTGAATAATTAGCCGATTGAAGGTAAGCGAACGTACTCATTGTCGCAGTTCCTCCAGGGCACGTTCACATCCAATCTGGCAGAGTTCCAAAGATAGCACAGTGCCCAACTAAGCACCACAATGTAGTAGATGTTTAACCAAAAAGCCATAACAGCGGCAGCGATTCCTACGCCTGCAATGGCAAATTCAAGGTAAAATATTGAGGCTTATTCTCTACCTATCATAGAGTGAAAGAGGTGCCACAACATTTCATATTTGAGAATTTGATATTTTTGTGGAAAGGATAAAATGCATCAAATCTCACATACTTGGTGAGTTACATGTTCACATGATAACAAAGAGGTCTTCAGTTCTCGAAATGCCTGACTACATGTTGCATTACTCTTTCAGGAAAGGAGTAAGAAGAGATAACTGCAGTCTTTCCTTGTAGCAATTATCGGTAGCAACTTGCTCAAAAAGGTAAAATCACAGCGAGCACAACGATGAAAAACCTCAAAATAACTAAACCGCACTGACTAACTGTACGTGTACATCAAAAAAGCTCGTAAGCCATTTTGCGTAATCTACCATCTGGCAAAAATGTTTTGATAGCTTCCTTTCTAAGCAATTAGAAGACACCAATAACTCAGATAAATTTAACAACAAAATGAGTTAGTGCAATAGACACACAGAAAAAGCTTGTTTCATTTTGTATTCGGTTGACATTTTGCCATAATCATGGTTTTTATTTTATTGAAAAGAAATGGCTTCATGTTGGGTGTCTTCTGGTTTAACCCTTATTGTGAAAAAGCAAAACCATTCTTTAATCTCTTATAGTAATAGCGTGCCGGCGTCAAATGATAACTTTGCTCTTCACTTTGCATTAGAGGTTCCACGAAATCAACTCGAGCTTTGAAATGATGTCTTAACGGAATTTTGAAGAGATTGAGGGAAATTTTCATGTTATTTGTTCCTGGATAAGCAGCGTTCTAGTCTGGATTTTTTAGTCACAAAATTGAAAAGACATAGCCTCGACAAAGTGCAACTGTAAATCCGTGCTTACAACATAGAAAAAAGTGTTAGAGTATGTCACGACGATATTGGTGCTGTGTTTTCATCAATGAAAAACAAGAGCTTTATAGATGAAGAAGGTTGTTTCTATTGCATTAACATTACCACACACCATCAGGTTTGGTTTTCGAAATGAAAAAAAAGGAAGTCCCCCTTGACTTTGGCAAAATTTTACGAAGTGTCCTTTGACCTGCTAAACGTTAAAAAAACCCACAAAAAAACGAAACGTCAACCAAAAAACGTCGCAATTTTTGCGTATTTGCTTCAAAACAAAACCCCCTTTGCTTTTCTTCCCGAAAACGATGAGCTTGCTTTCAAGTCACCTGTGCCGAGCCCTGCACACTACCATACAAGGTTTAAAGTGAAGTTAAGGGAACTGATCTAGAAATGGGTAAATAAGTGATGTAGGGTGCTGATGCTGAGCTTACTACAAATCCAAGCTCTGCAATCCCAAGGAAATGCGGAGTGAAGCCATCTTATCACAAACAATGCAAGGAGATTACAAATGGATAAGTTCAGAGATTTGAAACAGATGGTTGCGTAATCAAGGAGAAAAATCGGAAGCTCACATAAATATAGTGAATACGATGACACATAAAGAAGGTCAAAATCATGAGCAACACTTGGTAACACGAGGCTTATTCGGTAGAAATCGCAATGCTCATTAGTCGTCATGCTTGCTACTTTAGTGTCTACTTCTAGCACATTTCACATACCTTTGAATATCGGGCATATCTTGAACATGCCAAGTCCACCGACAGACAGTAATTGTCCCCATGATGTTTCAAGAATGAATAATGGTGCTCCGCAAAACACCAGTGAGATCACGTAAGGAATGAGAAAAGCACCTGAAAAGGAA